AAGAGCAAGAGCTTACTTTGCCCAGTTCCCTCAGTCACAGGGGGGGTGGGGTGAGATAGAAAGCACCTTTAAGACCAACAGAGTTTTATTCAAAGTATGAGCTTTTTGCCGAGAGAGAGAGAGAGAGAGAGAGAGAGAGAGAAAGAGAGAGTGAGTGTATGTTTTGTTGGGCTCGTTATGCCAGGGCTCTCTTGGGTACAACTGGGTTCTCCTCCTCTTTTTCACTGTATTCATGCCCTCATGATCCAGTCCTTCTCAGTAGGAAAGCAATATGTGAACTGTTTAGATGAGAAATACCAACAAGCCAGTGAGGTGGATTAGGCTGACAGTGTGTGTCCAGACCAAGTTCACCTCCCAGCACATTTCCTTTGTAGGCTGGGGATTCAAACTTAAACTTCCCAGATAGTAGGCTGGTACTGACCACTATACTTGCTGTCTTTCTATTCTTGCAGTGCCTCATAGGAGTTGTAGTACACTATAGTTTTGTAGACAAACACATACCCCTGAGTCTATGTCAGGATGCCTTCACATGTTCTTGACCAGCACACAAAGCAACTTACATACAAAAGCTTGCAGTGCCCAGCCATTTCATGTTTTCCCTTGGGTCTTAGGCTCAGAGCATTGACCATGAGATTTCTGTAATGAATGTTAATAAATCAAGTAGGTTTGCAACTTACAGATACACACCTGAACAGCATAGTCAAGATTGCTACTGCAGATTGTCTCCAAATTTTGATGCAGTAATTCAGAGCAAGAGGTGTCAGTTATCAGAGATTGTTAAATAAAATATTGCAAGAGTGCTAACGTTTTAAGCATGCTTTAAGTTTTTAAAAAAATCTTTAATTGTGTTTGTGTCCTTTATAAAGTTTATATCTGCGCTACCTGGCATTACATTTAATGACACACATGGCCCGGCCCGACAAGGACTCATTTATGTCAGATCCGGCCCTCCTAACAAAGGAGTTCAACGCTCCTGCTGTAGCATATTTATGTGGTAAAAGATAAGAGAGGGAGCAAGAAGGAAAATCATGGGCCCAGTGAGCTGGGCTGTCAAGAGAGTGAGAAGCAAATGTAGATTCTAGCTGATGAAAAGGCACAACTGGCTTGAAAGTGCAGAACGTTGCGTACCATCCTGAAGATTCTGTTCAGAGGGCAAGCAGCACGCTGCCTTGTGTCTTTCCCGAAATACTAAAGCACGAGAACATCCAATGAAGCTGATGGGCAGTAGATTCAGAACGGACAAAAGGAAATACTACTTTACACAGAGAGTGATTCAGATGTGAGATTCACTGCCAGGGGATTCGATAGGTTCATGGAGGATAAGTCTGTCAGTGGCTATCAGTGATTGAGGGGAACCTCTGCATTCAGAGGCAGTCAACATCTGGATCTCAGTGCCAGGAGGGAACATGAGGGGAAGTCTCAACCTCTGTGTAGTGCTGTCGACCCTCCAGAAGAACTGGCTGGCCACCTTGAGTGAGGATGCTGGACCGGATGGACCACTGCTCTGATCCCACAGGGCTCATCATGTTCTTAGGGGTGTAATGTTTGAAATAATGTCGACTCCACAGCTGATAAGTCAGTGATCCAAGCCAAAAGCTCGTAACTGATGCATGTTGCAGCTGCCACATGATTTGCAGTAAAGGCAAAATGAATATTTCTTGCAGAGATTGCTGCTTTCTAGCCTTCTGCTGGAAAGAAGGTGTACAAAACTATGTAAGGTGTTTGTTGTTCATGCTGCTGAGCAGGAACCAAAGTGCATTTGCATATTCCTGCCACATTGCAGAGAATGACTAGCTACATGTGCCCCAGGGGGTGCTTCTGAACAACAGCCCTCTTCCTCACACACCTTCCTTACTCCCTCCTTCCCCTCCCCATTCTTGGAAAAAAAATGCTGTGTGTGGTATGGGGGGGCTTTTTGTTCAGATGGAGGGAAAAGCTCCCTTTGCCCAAGGAGGCTCTGAGAGCTTTCTGGATTCTGGCCTTCGTTAAAGAGTGCAGTATTGTTAATTTATGCAGCTGATTTGTGTGTTTATGGGCATGCATATTCAGTCTGGATTCCAGAGGTTTGAGAACTATCCCTTTTTCTCCCCCTCTCGCGTAGTGTTACTGCAGCATGGAGCTGATCCAAATATTCGGAACACAGACGGGAAGTCAGCCCTGGATCTTGCAGATCCTTCTGCAAAAGCTGTACTTACAGGTGAGCAGTCCAAAGCTGGGTGGTTCAGCATAGGTAATCAGTCTTTGCAACTCCTCTGTCTGCTTTTTCCAGGGTGAAAATTGCTTAACAAAAAAAGTGCATGGTCTTTGTGGGTATTGATTTTTAAGAGCTGCAGTAACCAAAAGCTAATCCAAGAGCTGATTATTGTGCTTGTTTCCAAGAACTTTGTAGCGTTCTACCATTACCTCGCCGGTAAAATGTTACCAGTTAAATTTTAAGAATGTGTGCACAATCCCATGAGAATAACAGCAAATAAAATTCCCAGCATGAGCCATGCCTGTCACCTTTCTGTATGGTTACCAGAGTGTCGGTTTGTTTACAGCATTTAATTTCCGTACCCTGTCAGTAGTGTTCAAAGTAACTAGCACTCTTTCTTTAGGTCTACAAATAATTAACATCTGAAGTCTGCATGCCATAATATGCTGATTGGTCTGTTGGATTTAATAAGCAATAATCTAGGTGTTTTGAGCTGGAAGGTCCATGTGTATAAAGTGCTGTCAAGTTGCAGGCAACTTATGGCGACCCCATAGTGTTTTCAAAGCATGTGATTAAGCAGAGGTGGTTTGCCATTGCCTGCCTCTCCAGAGTCTGCCTTGGTGGTCTCCCATCCAAGGATTGACCCTGCTTATCTTCTGAGATTGGGCTGTCCTATACTCAGAGGTCATTTCGGGAGGGGGGTGAGGTGCAGGGGGGCAGGGCACATGGCGAAGCCCCGCCCCCTGCTTCCGGCCGCCCCGCTTCCAGCCCTCATTCAGCCAGGAGGAGGCAGGAGAAGAGGGAGGGTAAGTTGCTTCCTCCCCGCCTCTCCCCACCCCTGCCTGCCTGGGGCCAGGGAGGGCCTTGGCGGGGCTTCCTCGCACTCCCGCTGGCCTTGCAGGTCCACCGCCGGGCCCCTGATGTCAGGGGTGTGGCATATGCTAAGGAGTTATGCTAATGAGTTGCCCTAGCTCTTTTTCTACGAAATGACCCCTGCCTATACCATTCCACATCCCCCAAAAAAGATGTCAGTAGGGGTAGAAACTAAAACTTATATTCTCAGATCTTTCTTGACAGCTTCTTCTCTTCGAAGAAATAGAGAACAGGTGACTGATTTGACCACTGTGTGAGATACGATGCTAGACTCAATGCACTGTTGGCCTGATCCAGCAGGGCTCTTCAGCTGTTGAGAAAAACGTATTTGTCATAAACATGGTATGGCTTACCTTTCTTCCTTCACACTTTGTTGCTGTCCTTCACTTGGAAGCAGAAAGCAGGATCTGAAGGATAGAAACGAAGAGAACTTTTCATGTATGTGAGGAATACACAACCGGTTGCCAGCCTTCTTTCTGTGGGAGACTGGGTCTGGAGGCTTTATCACTGATTGCTTCCCCCCTCCTCAAGTATCAAAGATGGTGGGATGCTTCTGGGGATTACGAAGCAAATGTATCATTTAATAACACTGGATACATGTCACTTTCCTTTCTTCCTTGGGGAGTGTTTGCCACTGTATTTGCTGGGAGCTTCTCTGGCCTCAGTTTGCATTTCCGTTGACACACAGTGGGTTGTATTCTACCATTCTGTTCAGTTGAGGGTAGTGCATTCCGATCAGCACAAGGTGCCTTCCCCTGGCAGAGGACTTCCTTGCATCAGCGGAAGGTTCTGTGTGTCGACAGAACATACCACTCTTAGCTGAGCAGGGTGATAGGATGCAACCTCATGTTAGCAGAAATATGCTGAGCACTTTTGAAATGTTCTCTCTCTCCTTTTGCCATCAAGTCAAGCTGACTTCTGGCAACCCCAGTGGGGCTTGAAGGTAAGGGATGTTCAGAGGGTGCTTGCCATCACTTACCTCTGAGTCACAACCCTGGTATTCCTTGGAGGTCTCCCTTCCAAGTACTTGCCAGGGTCTGCCCTCCTTAGCTTCCGAGATCTGACAAAACCTGGCTTGACTGGGATATCCAGGTCAGGGCTGAAATGTTCTCTTGACTGAAGATTTTGCATTTCTCCCCCAGTAGTTTCTTCAAATGGGATGCTTTAACTGCTGTTCTTTTTACAACCCATATTGCCATCAGATCTTTTCTTACACCGATGAGCACATTACTGTTGTAGCACAACTACATCAGGACAAAAATGTGTGTTCCACATAGAAAAAGGGTTTTGATAAATTAAAATCAAAAGAAAGTCAACGAAAACAGTAATATGGTGGTTGGACTCTGAAGTAAGTCACGACCTTGACAGGTAAGGACCATTTCTAAACAACTGGGGTTGTACTTTGGCTAAGTCTTTGCAACCGCCACCCCCAAAAGATAGCTGGTAATGCTTTCCAGAAAACAAAGGCTGAAAGGTTGCAGAACAGGAAAACAAAACAGCATGTCAAAGAACCCTTGGGCAATCTGAATTCAAGTCCCCAGGGGCCCTGACAGTATTTGGGGAAAACGTTGATCTGCTGGCTGTTTTCATGCAAATCTTCAGACAAGTCTTTCCTAGCATTACACAGCCTTAATATTGTGAAGCAAGCAGGGAGCAATCCTAAGCAGTGTTCCCTCTAAGCTGAGTTAGTGTGAGTTAGCTCACAGTTAGTTAGCCTCCGGCTCACACATTTTTGTCTTAGCTCAGGAAGGGTGGCTCCAGAGCAAACTAATTTGTGCAGGAGCCAAATCAGTTGCTCACAACTTTAATGCCAGTAGCTCACAATGTAGAATTTTTGCTCACAAGACTCCACAGCTTAGAGGGAGCATTGATCCTAAGCTGGTCTACTTGAAAGTAAGTTTCAGTTTATTCAGTGGGGCTTGCTCCCAGGAAAGTGTTCTTAGGATTGCAGTCTCAGTGTACCATTGAGCAAACTCCCCATCACTAGCCTTTTGGTGATGCCGTTTTGAGCGCAGTATGAAAGTTAGACCTGTCAATCTGTTTCTTTAAATGGTTTGAATGTCACTTGTCTCTGGAGTGTCAGGCAGGCTTCCATTACGCTTACTTAGATATCAATGTTCTTGCACAGTTATATCCCCTCTTCATTTTTTTCCTGCGGGGAGTGGCCATGCTACCAGGAGAATAGGACACTGTGTTATTTCATGGTGAAAAATTGATGCTCCAGTTTTTAAAAATGTCCTGCATCTCTTCTCAGGAGCAAGAGATGCTACATCTACAAGGGCGGCATCCACACATCTTTGGACTTGGTGCTATTTTTGCATGACAGCAATAGTTCACAACTGGGTTTTCCTATGTGGACTAACCCATCCAGGGAGACAGTGATCGCAAGAGCACAGTTAGAGCAATAGCTAAGGTTGTGTGAACACAGCCCAGATTATAATAAAGGTGGAAGGGAGAGCTGAGTGTCCCCAAACAAAAGATGCCAGGGGAGAGCGGGAGACGATAGCTCCCCAGCTCTGCCGCAGTGGCTGTGCCTCTGTCTCCACCTTGTGTTAATGCTAAAAAAGCAGTCCCTGTGGTACCTCTTAAAGACTGGGTATGACTAGTTTGTTGTGATTTCAGGTGACTTTTTGATTCATGATCAGACTAATGCAGCCAGTCTTCTGTAACTTGGGCTGCTGTGATACATCCTAGTGGGCAAGAGATACACAAAAATGGGGGGAAGGCAGTTTGAATCAGGAAAGATCCTGCACCAATACAAGCAGTTACACCTCCCTGAGGAGGTGATAGATGACTAGTATAGTGATAGATGACTAGAGCATTAGTTTTTGCTGGGTGGGGGGGTCACAAATTGTGCACACTCATAGTCCTGACTCTACTTGCCTTAGCAAAGATGGAAATCGCGGCTAAGTGGAAGGATAGTAGGGATCCCTCTATCTCAGCTTGGCAAAATAGGATATGGGACTGCTTTATAATTGCTAAATTGACTGATAAAATCCTACGAGAAACACATACCACCTATAAATCACGACTGTTTCATACTTGGGCACCAATCCTAGACTACCTGAAGTTGCAAGCTGTGATTCCCGCTACGGCTGATAATTTGGACCTGATAAATCTCTGATTAGCCTTATGTTAGGTCTACAGTCTGTTCTGTGGAGTGTAGTTATAGTAATTTATTCAGTTAGATCCTTGTTGTTTTATAAAGTAGCTTATATGAACCTTTTTTTAATTATGGGGGGGTGAGGGGAACCCGGGGGATTATTGAAGTTATTTTTAATGTAAATTTTGTCATATTTTTAAATAATTAAAAAAAAAAACTTAAAAGAAAAAAACAAAACAAATTGTGCACACTCCATGGTTCAGAAAGAGGGAGTCGTCCGCATGGCAGATATAGTGTCCTCTGGAGAAGGGGTTCTTGGAACACAGCTGCTCAGAAAATATTTAAGAAAATCTGTGTGTTACTGTTGTTTTCCCTTTAGAAGCGCGCTCTCTCTCTCTCTCTCTCTCTCTCTCTCTCTCTCTCTCTCTCTCTCTCTCTCTCTCATATTGAGATATATAGAGATGTATGTATTTGTATGCTTGATGTTTGCCAGTTTGTGTCTAAGTTATATGTTTTGATTTGCTATGGGTAGTTAACTGCTCCTTTTTTTGTTTGTAAGTACCCAAGGGTACATTTTTATTGGTTTTTTCCCCATTATAAACTACAAACATACATAGCAACAAGACAAACACCTACCTACAACTAACAAACACAAAACATATAGCGAGAGGCTTATATTTCATATTCTATCTTCAATTAACTATTTGTTAATTTTCTATCCCCTTATCTATCTTACTGGCTTTCCCTTTTCTGTGTTCTCAGATTTCATCAAATCAAGTTATTACGCTTCTTGTAGTTACTGTAACTGCTCCTTAATGTGAGCCAAGCTGTTCTCTGAAGTGAGAAGTAATAGCTTACTGTGCTTCAGGACCTCGTAAGGTATAGTCACCACAGGCTTCCTAGTGGTCAGGAGGCCAGTTCCTTAATTTTGTGGTTCCCTGTTGGCTTGGCTGAATTTCAATACAATCATAGAGGCTCGTGTTGTATGGGTGAGTCAGTTTAAAGTACCTCTCTTCGTCAGATCAAG